GCTACACCAGGCCGCCTAATGTTTCAGTCGCTACGATATTCGAGGAACCGCGATATATGTATATCTTTGTAATGTACTCTGGAGCCCAATTCGCTCGTTTGTGACGTACTCAGGCAACTTAATGTGCTACACCAGGCCGCCTAATGTTTCAGTCGCTACGATATTCGATCGAGGTTTAGACGTAACACACTACACATAAGGTTGCCGAAAACCCTTCGGTAGCCCACGGCCGCCTTTACTCTTCTTTGGGCTCACCGAGTAGGCGAAGTTCGCGTAGTTTTTCGTCCTGAAGAGACCCGGAAACCAGGCGACACATAACCAACACAAAACGGTTAGACCCGGATAAGAAAATAGAAACCCAATAGATATATCCTCCGGTGTCCAGAAGAGTGCAGCTTTCACAAATAGACCAGCTTTTCGGAAAGAGAGATTCGATTGAGACGTAATATACAGTATGACATGACGACAATACGATCAGCCACTAACCGTCCGAATTCGGCCCAAAGTCTACCGACAATCCACCGAAATATTCAACAGTGCACGACGCAAGAAAGCCAGCCAGTTAGCAAGATTGTTTTTGTCAACAAAGCAGATGATCAAACCGGAGTACCGGCTGACACAAGCAACTAAAGAACCTATTAGCAGTCGATGACCCTGCACAGGCCAGCGCTGTTCCAAAAACCGGTCTTGCCAAAAACCAATAGAATTTGCACGGTACAACTCTTCTGAATCCCCCCAAGTGTCCATTTCCCTTCGGCATTGGACTCTCGACGGAAGCCTTTTCATCGGATCTACTACCGTCCCTTATCCCTCTCGCGTCATTCCTTTTGGTGTCAGTTTTTGAAGAATTATCCCAGTCCTAACACATCTAAGTACACTTGACGTGCGCATCAAGAACGACTGACTTTCCAGTTTGAGCATACAAACAGTTCACCCAAACCGAAATTATTTAGCTTACTGAATTCCGAATTTGCCCTGCCCTAGAGTGCTGATGGCGTCCTTCGGGTGGAATTCCCTGATTTTATTCCTTCCTGTTTCGACTCGATGTAGAACTGAACATTGTCGAAACCTACGTATTGGCCAGTAGTCAGTAAAGATTAACTCATCGAGAAGCAACGTCCCTGGTCTCGTTCCAATGCCCGTACCATTACTACAAGACCCAACTCTTCCCCTTTATTTCCTCCCAAGAACCCCACCACATTCTGTCCCTCTGTAATTCATATAACCTTGAACTCTTCAAGAGCCCATTTAAAGTTCATCTCAGAAAGTCTTCAAATTTTTCAGTTCATGCACATTTTGCATTACTTTTGTTGTTTTTATGGGGAGTTTTTGAGTATGGGATTTCCCTCTCTCCGTACTAAAAAAATCCCTAGTATCGAGTGTGTCTAGTGAAGCGGAAAATTAATTACCACTCAAAAGTTTGATCGTGTTTAGTAATACCACCCGGCTCGCCCCAATGCAGTGCGGACACAAAGTAAACGTTCAGTGTACACAAACCGTCTAACCTACCAGTGATAGGATAGTCCACGTAACGCTTGGTCTGTCCATCGTAGTACTCTGTGCCCTTGACAATGACCAAATGCGCTGGAAAATTTACACCCCATGCCAGGGTAGCGGTGGAGATTAGTATCTGAAGACATAATGTGCAGCAAAAGCATAAGAGGTATGGAAAAGCACGGCCAAATAATTATAACAAGGATCCTTAATACAGGCGGTGACCGGTTAATCTACATCATAGTCAAGTGACTGCATAACGATAGGAATTGCTCATTCTATCACACTCCAAATTGACTGCGAAACGGAACCGACATCAAGACACAAAATGAGCAGGAACGAGATTAGCCAGCGAACAGTTTATTGCATTGATTTCACCACCAACCAGACTGTTCATTCTTTGGATGGTCAATCCAACCAAGCTTGCGTACCACACCAAGCACACATCTCCATCAAACTCTTGACTGCTACGCTGAACCATGGGCTACAGGACCTCGGTTGTGACCGAGTTTTCTTTTCACATTAATTGAATTTATCAGGGCTTTCCCTCGTCATAGCGTGTACGTCTGGTCCCGGTTGCTATGCCACTCGCCTTCAGCAGCTGCTTCGTTACAACAGATTTGATAAATCTGACTAACCGAAATCAACCAAGTACAGTTCAGTGCCGAACGAGGCCGTTCTAGACACATCGGTAAAATTGACATGATTTTGCTGGTATATGTGAAGCAGTCAAGTATTGGTCGACAGACTTACTGACTAAACTGTGTCGCTTGGAAACTTGCAGTTCTTCGAACTCTTGTCCAAGAAAACAGTAAGAACACCTATTACAGTGTGAGCATGAGAAGTGGGAATCCGGTGAATACCATGGTAAATGTAGCATACCTGGATTTTCTCATTCACAAAGAGTTCTTCAACGACTGAACGATCGCGAGATTGTAACCCTGCATGATGTAGCCCGATACCAAATGACAAAGTTAACCGCAGGTTTGAGTCATGAATAGTTTCAGAAATTGCATCCATCTGAAACGAGAAAAAAACACCATGAATTTCAATGAGACCAGAAGGATCGGCACATAGAACCGAATGATAACTCGGTAGGAAAGCGGTAGGACTTACACAGAGCCCCTCCCTACAGTAACCACCCCTAAAGTAAGTGGAAAATAGTCACACTCAAATGGTCACTTCGATGGGCGTAGCCCACCAACGGAATGGGGCAGAAAG